TCACCTAACAGATCTCTGGTGGAGGGGGGGGAGGGGCACGGGTCTCAAGTGGAGAGTTCCAAGTTGTGACTGGAGAGAGGGAAAATGTCTAAAACGGAGAGGGGACTTACCGGCGAGAGAGATGTGTGAGAGAGGGTGACCAAAGATAGATAACAAGGTTAAAACAGCTCCTGGACATGGATGGCTGGTGTCACTATATATAAATTATTGATGGTCAAGGGTGGATAGAGAGGGAATGTCGTCAGGTAGTCTAACGGTCTGTTTGTCTGTCTTTTCCGTGACTCACTCTCTCTCTCTCTATCTCTGTCTCTGTCTCTCTCTCTCTCTCTTTCTCTCTCTCTATCTCTCTCTCCCAATCTCTCTCTCTCTCTCCCACTCTCTCTCTCTCACTCTCTGTCCGCCGACCTGTCACAGTTCGTTAAGCGTGAATATGTGCAGAGGACAGTGAGCTGATCGTGAGCTCTGTGGTTGCTAGATGCCACCCTCTAAACCTCCAGTTCCCTCACAATGTATTTCATTTTCCAAGTCAAGGTAAACAATTCAATCACAAAGGGAAGTAAGCAAACAAAATGTAGTGAAATGTACATAAACATGAAAAAATGATATCAATAGGCGGATATTACACCATATCTTTTCATATAAACTCTGAGCTTGTCAAGTATTAACAAATGGCCAAACATACACGGCCAACGATCGTCAGTTCTAATTGATCTCTGGTGATAAGAAATAATGAACAGAAAACTAGATTACCCATAGCACAGTAGTGATAGCTGTGTACATAAGTAAGAGGTGGCCGGGGGACGGATGGCGGGGGCCAGTTGTAACAATCACCTAACAGATCCCTGGTTGGGGGGGGGGCACGGGTCTCAAGTGGAGGGTTCCAAGTTGTGACTGGAGAGAGGGAAAGTGTCTAAAACGGAGAGGGGACTTACCGGCGAACCTGGCACTGTGGGGGATCAGCCGGACCAACAGGGAGCCTCAAGTGGAGGATTGGAAGATGTGTGAGAGAGGGTGACCAAAGATAGATAACAAGGCTAAAACAGCTCCTGGACATGGATGGCTGGTGTCACTATATATAAATTATTGATGGTCAAGGGTGGATAGAGAGGGAATGTCGTCAGGTAGTCTAACGGTCTGTTTGTCTGTCTTTTCCGTGACTCACTCTCTCTCTCTCTATCTCTGTCTCTGTCTCTCTCTCTCTCTCTTTCTCTCTCTCTATCTCTCTCTCCCAATCTCTCTCTCTCTCTCCCACTCTCTCTCTCTCACTCTCTGTCCGCCGACCTGTCACAGTTCGTTAAGCGTGAATATGTGCAGAGGACAGTGAGCTGATCGTGAGCTCTGTGGTTGCTAGATGCCACCCTCTAAACCTCCAGTTCCCTCACAATGTATTTTATTTTCCAAGTCAAGGTAAACAATTCAATCACAAAGGGAAGTAAGCAAACAAAATGTAGTGAAATGTACATAAACATGAAAAAATGATATCAATAGGCGGATATTACACCATATCTTTTCATATAAACTCTGAGCTTGTCAAGTATTAACAAATGGCCAAACATACACGGCCAACGATCGTCAGTTCTAACTGATCTCTGGTGATAAGAAATAATGAACAGAAAACTAGATTACCCATAGCACAGTAGTGATAGCTGTGTACATAAGTAAGAGGTGGCCGGGGGACGGATGGCGGGGGCCAGTTGTAACAATCAGCTAACAGATCCCTGGTGTGTGGGGGGGATTATTTTTTTTGGTGGGAGGGGCACGGCCTCAAGTGGAGGGTTCCAAGTTGTGACTGGAGAGAGGGAAAGTGTCTAAAACGGAGAGGGGACTTACCGGCGAACCTGGCACTGTGGGGGAAGAGCCGGACCAACAGGGAGCCTCAAGTGGAGGATTGGAAGATGTGTGAGAGAGGGTGACCAAAGATAGATAACAAGGCTAAAACAGCTCCTGGACATGGATGGCTGGTGTCACTATATATAAATTATTGATGGTCAAGGGTGGATAGAGAGGGAATGTCGTCAGGTAGTCCAACGGTCTGTCTGTCTGTCTTTTCCGTGCCTCACTCTCTCTCTCTCTCTCTTTCTCTCTTCCTCTCTCTCTTTCTCTCTTCCCCCCCTCTCCCTCTCTCTCTCTCTCCCACTCTCTCTCTCCCACTTTCTCTCTTACTCTCTCCCCCTCTTCCCTCATCCCCTTACATAGTGGGGACATGACTGAGAAAAGGGAGAGGACACTCCGGTATCTGTCCGCCTCACAATGCATTTCATTTTCCAAGTCAAGGTAAACAATTCAATGACAATGGGAAGTAAGCAATTCAATGACAAAGGGAAGTAAGCAAACAAAATGTAGTGAAATGTACATAAACATGAAAAAATGATATCAATAGGCGGATATTACACCATATCTTTTCATATAAACTCTGAGCTTGTCAAGTATTAACAAATGGCCAAACATACACGGCCAACGATCGTCAGTTCTAATTGATCTCTGGTGATAAGAAATAATG